TAGAAGCTTGATTTAACGATTTTCCAAGGGAAACTGGGAGAGCTCAGGCAACTTCCTGGCTTCCTTCCACCATCTTTGCTCCTAGGGACATTGTTCTCTCATATTTCTATCCCTACTTGTCTGCATTCTTTTCCAGGCAACACTCCTGACTCATCTTCCTTCACAGGACTTTGTCTACCATGGTCCCATTCCAGGTAATTTCTAACCCGGTTTCAACTCTTATTTATGGGTTGTCTTCAATAATTAGAATATAAACTCCTGGAGAGTGAGGACTGTCTTTATTTTTGCTTATATTTGTATTCAGTGATTAGCAGTGTCTGGCTGATAGTAACTGCTTAATAAATGCTTATTGGCTGACTGACCTGGCTGACCTCTCCTCAGTTTCTTTGCTGCACCATCCTAAAGATCACACCCACTTACCTTGGATGTTTCTGTCTCCCCAGCTCTATCTTGGGCCCTTCTATACTATCTCACTGGGTAATCTCATCAGTTCCCATGTGTTCTGATTATCTCCATCATATTTGGTGACTGCTAGATCTTTATGTCCATCCCCAGGCTCTCTTATGAGCTCCAGTCCCATGGCACCAGCTTCCATTTGGACATTTTGAACTGGATGTCCTGTAGGCATTTTTAACTTTCAAAACAAAACTTTCCCCTTTTCTGAACTTCCTTTTCATTTTACATCACTATCCTTCCAGTCAGCCAGGCTGGAAACCTCATCCTCAACTCCTACCTCTTCCCCCATATAGTTCTCTTTTTGTCACATTTTGTCATTTCTACCTTCATAATTTCCCTCCCATGGCCCTTTCTCCCCACTCACACAGCCACTATTCTAGTAGAGGCCTTCATCTCCTCTTTCTTAGACCATTGCAGTAGCCTGCTACTTGGTGTGCCAGCCTCAAGCCTCTCCCCATCCCAATCCATCCTCCCCTTGACTGCCAGGGATTTTCCTAAACTACAGGTTTGATAATGTCACCTTCGCCTGAGCTCACACACACTTAATTAACTCTAGTGTTTCCCTGCTACTCCAAGGATCAAATAGAAAGTCCTCTGTAATAAAGGCCTTCTCAACATGGGCCTGCCTACCTTTCCATTCTCACACTCCTCTCTTTACTGGAAGATCAAGCTAAACTGGCTTATTTGCTGTCCCTTGATCACTATAGTCCCATCTCCAGACTCTGTGCCTTGGCCCTGGCTGCCCCCTCCCCTGCCTGGAATGTTCATCTCTAACTGAGCTTTCCCTGGTTTTCTTCTGGACTCTACTCCAATCCCACCTTCTGCAGAAGGTCTTTCCAGTCTCCCTCCACCCCCAACTTTCCCTCTACTGTCTCCCCTCAGAGATAGCCTTCTATCTCTATCTATACCTTATGTGCACATATTTGTTTATATTTTATCTCCCACATTAGAATGTGAATGCCTTGAGGGAAGGGAGCAGTTTTTGCCTTTTTATCCCCAGCCCTTACCTGGATACCTGCAGTACAGTAAGCACTTAATATATTGAAGCATCAAAGTGACACAGCAGGTAGAGCACTAGGCCTGGAGTCAGGAAGACTCATATTCCTGAATTCAAATCTGGCCTCAGACACTTACTAACTGGGTGAGCCTGGTCAAGTGACTTTAATCTCTCTGCCTCAGTTTCCTAAACTGTAAATTGGGGATAAAAATAACACCCACTTCTCAAAGTTGTTATGAGGGTTAAATGAGTCAAGATTTATAAAGTGCTTAGCACAGTGCCTGGCACTTAATAAGGTCTTGATAAATGCTTATTTCCTTCCTTCCTAATAATAAATGCTTCTTAACTGAATTATCTCTGAAAGTAGTTTGATACAGTAATGATTTTATAATTCACTGTGGTTGCTTTTTAATTAAAACTAGGTGGTAGATTAATACAGTACACAATATATTTCATCAGCCCAACATTCTGAAAACTTAGCATGTTTACTTTTACTGAGAGATATATTAAAAATACATAAGGACAGGTTTTTGCACCAGAATATTTTAGAATCAAAAGTCAAGCCATTGTAACTATACCTGTCATGGATGATTTTCACAAATGAAAGAACAAGACTTTTATTTTTAAAAATTTTCTTAAAAAACAAGTCCAGACATTTTCATCATGGAACTGAATAGCAGCCATAACTTTGTATGACAACTGTATACACTGGGTAACAGTTACACTGCAGATAAAGACGCTTCTTTACAAAAAATAGATCCACTTTCCCAGAAAAAAAAAATGTTACATCATAAAATGCAGAGTCCTGAGCAGATATCCAGTTTGTCCAGATCTGAATCATCCTCTGCCCACATTTAAACCTATCCTCAGGTCCTATTCAGAAGAATATAGCAAGTAGAGAATTATTTCTATAACTTTCCATCAGTTGAGACTAGAAGAGGTATATCAGTCAGTCCAGTTATGGAAGCATGAATGGCATACTAATCTTTGCTTCATTTCTAAATTCCAAATTCCATAATCTCACCTGAGATGTCTATTAAGCAGAGCTTACCTGAGCTTATGAATAGCCCTTACTACTACATTCTGAGCACCACATTCCAGTAATGGGATGCTAAGTCCAATGTTGAGCAAGAAACAGAAGAAAATTTAGGATGGGGACTCTTTGCAAGCTTATTATGTAAAACGTTTTTACATTACATATGTAAGGGTAGGCCTGAAATTTTCAGCTCTGTAATCTCTTGATGGAATCAGATAACAGAACTTGAATGTGAATACCTCACACATACTTCCATGAATCAATCAAAGTCATCCTGTGGGAAACAGCATCAGGGCTCAAAGGAATTTATTTAAATTGTAGGGGCAGTTGGGTGGCCCAGAAGATAGAGTGCTGGGTCTGGAGTCAGAAAGACCTGAGTTCAAATGTGTCTTCAGACAAAATGGAGATAATAATAGCACCTAACTCCCAGAGTTGTTGTGAGTATCAAATTAGATAGTAATTACAAATCACTTAGCACAGTGCCTGATACATAGCAAGCACTATATAAATATTAGCTATTATTATTATTATTATTATTATAAAAGGAAGAAGCCATCTCAGAATGGAGAGAAAGAGTTTCTGAGAGCCTAGATTTGAGAGGTTGAAGAAAGCATGGCATTTCTGTACACCTTTGAGGAACAAAAGAAGGACTGAGCTGTGCCAGAGAAGGGAGATATTGAAGAGTCTTTGCTTTTTACCAGGCATCTCAGAGTGGAGCACCCAGGATGAAGGAAAACCCAAGAAAAAAATCACTTCTTTCCTCCAGCTTCCACTCCCAATGCCTGTCTATCCATAGACACTATAATACAATCTGATATTTTGTTACCAGATGTTTCTAGAAAACGAAAAATTCCCTGAGTCACAAAGAAGCCAGAGAAGAAATGAAAATAGATATTGATATGGGATTAGGCAGAGAGCCCAACCTCTATTTATGTGCTAGTCATCCAAGAAATGTCCAATCAATCAGTTTCAGTCATAGGTTTTAGGAGTGACCTTGCATAGGAATCCCATTCAGACAGGTTGAGCAAAGTTGGCCATGCCCCAGTGGCTCTCTGTAAATCATCATGCTAGCTGAGAACCAGAGGGATTGGAGAAATGGTAGCAAGCCTGGCATTGCAGTAAAATCTCTGAGGACGAAGCGAGGTGGGGTGGGGGGGGGAGGACACAAGAGGCTCAGGTTCAGCCTTGGCCTCTTTCTCCTCCACACCCCAATCCTTTGGCTGCAGGAAGGCCTCTGTGAACAACTAGAAGCACCAGGGGCATGTTGGCATCCACTGGGGCCCAGCCTAATCCCTGGTTCAGCTGAGAGCAGAGTCTGCGCTGGGAGCCAAGGACAGAAAGGATGGAGATTTGTGGCTCCACTAGGAGCCCAACAAAGGAACTACACCGTGCCTAAGGGGAACTTCTGGACCCCCCCACAAATGTGGGGAAGGACTCCTAGCAGTCAGGAGCCTTGCCACCCCTTGGCCACATGTGATTTCTAAGCTTGGGCCCACTTTCCCCTGCCCTCTAAATATACTGGGGCCACAGTGAGGCACAGACCTGGCCAACTCTTCCTATTGTTCCACCCCCCCCCAAAGCTGCTAGGGCTACTAGGTGGCGCCATGGTGCATAGCGCACCCCAAGCCTGGAGTCAGGAAGACTCATCTTCCTGAGTTCAAATGCAGCCTCAGACACCTCCTAGCTGTGTGACCCTGTTGGCCTCAGTTTCCTCATTTGTAAAATGAGCTGGAGAAGGAAATGGCAAGCCACTTCAGGATCTTTGCCAAGAAAAGCCCAAATGGGATCATGTACAGTTGGACACGACTGAAACAACTGAACAACAGTAACAAAAAGCTATTTAAAGCTGGCTGACTAAAAGGATTTTCATCTCATAATCTTGAGGCACAGTGGGTAGAAAAAACATACTACTGGGGCCTTAGGCTGAGAGCACTAGGGAATCACCCCAATTTTTCAGGAGGGCCCTCTAGAACCCTGAGCAGGGAATACACCCCTTTTTTTGTTTTCTTGGTGAGGCAATTGGGGTTAAGTGACTTGCCCAGGGTCACCCAGTGAGGACGTAGTAAGCGTCAAGTGTCTGAGCCTGGATTTGAACTCAGATCCTCCTGACTCCAAGGTGGAAACTCTATCCACTGTGCCACCTAGCTGCCCCTAGGGAATATACTATGGCTGTGGATCCTGAAACTCATCTGTGAGAATAGAAGTTGGGATAAAGATCATCAGAGCTCATATGAGCTATACACCCACACATACTATGTCTATATATATATCTATGTATGTACCTACAAAGTAGATACAAGGCACCCTTAGAGAGGAAGGAAGGCCCTCCTTCACAAAGGGATGCTTGACCTCTTTTTAGGAACCCCAGGGATGTTCAGAGGCCGATATAAAAAGGGAGGCATTCCATACAAGGGGGACAGCCAATGCCAAGGCATAGAGTCAGGAAGTAGAGTGTCCTTTGGCCACACGCGGTCACATACAACAGCATGTTCATATGCATACCCATAGAGAAACATAGTTAGACCCAAAAGCATTCAGCTGACCACAGCCATTGTACAAAACCAGACCCTCACTCAACTGATTGGTTGCCGAGCTTTAGGGGATCTCAGGAGTAGATAAAAGATTCACTGATGAATTTCTCTGGTCTTTCTCAGACAATACAGGAAGGTAGCCCATCAGGTTCATGGTATCTTTACAAACTTTCTGTAACTGGACTACCTGGTTATGTGGTAAGGACCAACGCCAGGCCTGGGAGACACTTTGAGCATTCCTGGAGTCTGTGTCAAAGGCACTCCTTCCCATGCCCTTCCCCTGTGTGATGTTATGCACCCAGATTTGGAGATGAGGCGGGAAAGGCAACCCTGCAAATTCATATAGTTTGGAAGTTTGGGTCAGTGGGTCCTGCACCAAGTCCTCATAACGTATTAGCAGGTAGCGTTCTCGTTGGGAGTCTGGTAACAACTGTGCCGCCTTATAGATCTCCTGTTGGCTTTGGCAGATAGCTTGCATCAAGTGATAGGACTGGTCCTCCTTCTTTATTTTATTCCGTTGGTTCCCCATGACAATATGGCTGTCCTGCATCAGGTCCTGTTCTGTGTTTTGCCGAGAGCGGAACACAGCCCGGGGGTCTCGCACAAGGTGAATGATGTGCAGGTTGAGGGAGGGGTCAGTCAGCAGTGGCTGGAGGGTCATCAGGTTGAAGAAGCGCACCTCTTTGAGCACCACGTGACTGTAGGACTTACAGGCTTCTTCTACCATGGTGAAGGGCTGCTTGCCACATAGGATCCTACAGTCAGCTGGGGGGACGATGGCCTCCCTATGAAACAGATGGCACACGGGTGGAGAACACAGAGCCCTACTAGTATCCCACATGAAGAGGCTGGACTGTTTCCTTGGACCCTGGGCCATGTAAGCATCAAAGACAGTCATGTCACAGAGGAAGACTGAACGAATCAGGTCTCGCACGGCCATCTGCAACTGCCCAGCACTGCCAGAGGAGAGGGTCGCCCACACATGCTTGGCTGGCTCCATCAGGTAAAAGACATCTGGGTGCTGGCTGAAGAGCTGGCCCACAAAGGAGGAGCCAGAGCGCCACGAGGACAAGATCAACACATGTGTAGGGCTTGACTTCTCTGCTACACCAGGACACTGACTGGGGCTGTACAACTGCTGGAAAAAGAGGAAACCTAGAGATGGGAGCACCAGGAGGACTAATAGCCTTTTTTTGTTTACCCAGAACATTGTGCAGGAAGCAAGCAGGCAACCTGTTGGGACAAGAAAAATGGACTGTATGAGACTGCTGGGCATCCATGCGCTGGCACATCTCCCTTCCAGCCAACCAACCCTAACCTACCTGCTACCAACTCCTACTTTGCCATAGCTCCGCCCAACAATGCCTGAACACATTTCTCCCTCACCACCCTTCCCCCATCACCTCCTATCTCCTATGAGATGTGAAGAAGTCCTGGGGCTCAGTCCCTTTGATCTCATCACTTAAACTCATACAGAGAAGTGAATCCTAACCCCATTTTCCACTCAAATTCTTGATCACTGCTATAACCAAGCACTATGTGAAGTGCTAAAGATACAAAGAAAGGCAAAAATGAAAAAATCCCTGCTCTCGAGGAGCCCAGAGTCTCATGGGGAAGATAACATGCTAATCAATATGTACAAACAAGATAGTACAGGATCAACTGGGGATAGGGAGAGGATTCTGGGAAGATGGTGGAGTAGGTCAGAAAAGTTCCAGGCTCACCAAATTTCCTCCACAAACAAGACAGAGCATCACCTCAAAGTGAACATAGAGTGGCAAAAATAAGCAAAAGTCAAGAGAAGGAAGATGCCACCCTATGACAGCTTGAGGGGACCTCAGGAAAGACTGGACCTCCAAGGGTGGAGGTTTGGCCTGACTGAAGTGCAGACAACTCCACTGAAACTCAGCCTCAGGAAATTTCTCCTCACAGTGTGGAGGATGGACAGCTGAGTAGGGGAAGGATCCTCCACTGTCTCAGGATGCCAGGCATAGCTGTGCTGACCAGACACAGTCCCAGGATCGGCTGTGAGTAGAAGGAGCTAGCACACTCCCAATGAGTGCAGTGCTAGCAGGGTTAGAGGGGTGTCCAGCTGGCTGTGGGCCCTTCCAGGAAAGTGGAGTCCCTGGTTTCCATTCCAGGGTAGAGAGGGGAGCTGAGGTTTGCAGCTGTGGGAAGGGCCACAGGCAGTAAGAGTGTTTATGGGGCATCATGGCAGGGGCCCTGGCCATGGCTCAGAGGTGGAGAGAACTGCCTGAGGTTGGGTCCCCAGATGGAGTTCAGAAAACAACAGTAAGAGGGACCTGAAGCCTGGGGCACCATTACCCACACCTCAGGACTAGAACCTGATTACAATAATAAGATGCTAAAATAAAACAAAACAAAAATGAGTAAGCAAAGGAGAAATAACCCAACCACAGACCACTACTATTGGGATAGAAAAGATCTGAGTTCACATTCAAAGGAAGATAGTTAACAAACAAACACACAAAACCACTCCTACCGCAAAGAGAAACATCAAATAGTCACAAGCCCAAAAAGGGTTCTTGGAAGAATTTAAAAAGGACTTCAAATATCAAATAAGAGAGATTGAGGGAAAATTAGGGGGTGGAGAAATAAGAACAATCCAAGAAAAATCAAGAAAATTGTGAAAAGAGAGTAAACCAATTGGAAAAAGAGATCCAAGAACTTAAGGAAGAGAATAACTCCTTGAAAACTAGAATTGGGCAAGGGGAAGAGAATGATGTTACAAAACACCAAAAAGTAATAAAACAAAATCAAAAGAACGAAAAAATAGAAAAGAATGTGACATCTCATTAGAAAAACAATTGATCTGAAGAATGGATCAAGGAGAGACAATATAAAAATTATTGAATTACCTGAAAGTTATGATCAAAAAAAGAATCTTGATATAATATTATAAGGAATCATTAAGGAAAATTACCCTGAAGTTCTAGAACAAGAGGGCAAAGTAGAAATAGAAAAAATTCACCAATCATGACCTGAAAGAGATCCCAAGCTGAAAACTTATACTGTGAAGCTACAATCAAGATTATAGAAGACTTAGCAGCCTCTGCACTAAAAGGCCATAAGTCTTGGAACATTGTATGTTGAAGAGCAAGATAAGTGGGGTTGCAAAATAACTTACCCAGCAAAGTTGAGTATAATTCTGAATGAAAAAACAAATGGACATTTAGCGAACTGAAAGACTTTCAAGCATTTGTGACAAAAAGGGCAGAACTCGATGGAAAACTTGACATATAAAATCGAATAGAAATATAAGGTAAACATCAATTATAAGGTAAACATCAATTATAAGGGAGTCAGTAAGGTCAAACTGTTTACTTCTGATATGTAAAAATGTTATCAGTATTCTTAAGACTATCATTATTACTTGGGTAGTTTGAAAGAAAGGTTGGGGCTGAGCTGAGTATGAGGAGATGATTCTAAAAAACAAAACTGGATAGGAAAAGGTAAAAAGGAGTAATTATCTCATTCAAATGAGGCATGAAAAGAACAACTGATACAAAGGAAACAGGTGGAGGGCTGGCACCTTACTCTCATCATATCTGGGTTAAAGAGGGAAAAACAGAGGAAAGGGAGGCACAGAAAATTTGAAACTCCAAAGCTTATGAAAATGAATGTTGAAAACTAAAAATAAGAATTTAAAAAAAAAAGAAAGAAAAAAGAAAACCATTGAATTAATAAAACTAAAATTTGGTTTTTATTTTTTAAAAAAAACTGATAAACCATTGGTTAATATGACAGAAAAAGAGAGAGAGGAGAAACCACGTCCCTAGTATTAAAAATAAAAAGGTGTATGCCCATCAATTGGGGAATGACTGAAAAAGTTGAGGTATATGACTGTAATGAAATATTATTGTGCTATAAGAAATGATGAGCAGGCAGACTTCAGAAAAACCTGGAAAGACATGTATGGACTGATGCTGAGTGAAGTGAGCAGAACCAGGTGAATGTTGTACACGGAAACAGCTACGTTGTATAATGACTAATATTAATAGACTTAACCCTTCTCTGCAATACAAGGATCTAAGACACCTCCAAAGGCCTCATGATGGAAAATGCTATCCACATCCAAAGAAAGAACTATGGAGTTTGAATGCAGATCGAAGCATACAATTTGCTATTTTTTTCTTCTGTTGTGATTTGTTTCCTCTTTCTGGTGGTTCCTCCTATTGGTTCTAATTCTTCCTTACAACATGACTAATGTGAAAATATGTTTAACAGGAATGTATTTGTATAGCCTATATCAGATTGTATGCCGTTTTGGGGAAGGAGGTAGGGAGAGAGGGAGAGAAAAATTTAAAACTCAAAAGTTTATGGAAGTGATTGTTGATAAAGCCAAATAAATTAATAAAAAAAATTTTTTTTAAAGATGATAAAAAAAAAGAAATGATGAGCAAGCAGACTTTAGAAAAACCTGGAAAGATTGGTATGGACTGATGCTGAGTGAAGTGAGCAGAACCAGGAGAACGTTGTACACAGTAACAGCCAGGTTGTGAGATGACTAACTTTGATAGACTTAGCCCTTTGAAGCTCTTAGCCCTTCTCAGCAATGCAAGGATCTAAGACATCTCCAAAGGTCTCATGATGGAAAATCCTATCCATATCCAGAGAAAGAACTATGGAGTCTGAATGCAGATCGAAGCATACTATTTACTCTCTCTTTTTTTTGTTTGTTTCTTCTTTCTCGTGGTTTCTCCTATTGGTTCTAATTCTTCTTTTCAACATGACTAATGTGAAAATATGTTTAATATGAATGTATATGTAGAGCCTATATCAGGTTGCATGCTGTCTGGGGGAAGAGGGAGGGGAAGGAGGTAGAGAAAATTTAAAATTCAAAATCTTATGGAAGTGAATGTTGAAAACTAAAACTAAATTAATTATTTTTTAAAAAAGAAAAGAGTAAACATACCACCAATGAAGATGAAATCAAAACAATTATTAGGAGTTATTTTGCCCAGTTGTATGCCAATAAACTTAACAATTTTAGTGGAATAGAAGAATATTTACAAAAATATAAACTGCCTAGATTAGCAGAAGAGAAATGGAATATCAGAACAGACCTATTTTTAAAAAAGAAATTAAACAAGCCATAAATGAGCTTCTTAAGAAAAAAGCACCATGGGGCAGCTAGGTGGCACAACGGATAGAGAACCATCGCTGGAATCAGGAGGACCTGAGTTCAAATCCGGTCCCAGACACGTAACACTTACTAACTGGGTGACTTTGGACAAGTCACTTAACCCCATTGCCTAGCCAAAAAAAGAGAGAAAATTAAAAATAAATAAAAAGAAAAAAGCACCAGAACCAGATAGATTTACAAGTGACTTCTATCAAACATTTAAAGACCAATTAATTCCAACATTAAATAAATTCTTCAGAATAATAGGCAAAGGAGGGGTCCTACCAGGCTCCTTTTATGAAATAAATATGTACTGATACTTAGACCAGGAAGAGTAAAAAACCGAAAAAGAAAATTATAGATCAATTTCATTAATGTATATGGATGCAAAAATCCTAAATAAACTGTAGCTAGGAGATTACAACAATATATTATACATGGCAGCCAAGTGAGATTTATACCAGGAATGTAGGGATGGTTTAACACAAGGAAAATTATTAATACAATTGATTATATAAATAACAAAAGTACAAAATCATATGATTATGTTAATAGATGCAAAAAAAGCTTTTGCAAAAGTACAACACTCATTTCTTTTAAAAACACTTGAAAATGTATATATAAATGGATTTTTCCTTAAATTGTTAGAAAGGATTTATCTAAAACCATAAGCAAGCAAAATTTGTAATGGGGATAAGGTAGAAGTAAGATCAGGTGTGAAACAAGGATACCCACTGTCACCAATATTATTCAGTAGTATATTGGAAATCCTAGCAATAGCAATAAGACAAAAAAAAAGGAATAGAAGGAATCAGGATGGACAATGAGTTATAAAACTGTGCTCTTTTTGCAGACACTATAATGATGTACTTGGAAAATTCCAAAGACTCCACTAAAAAACTTAGGTGAAACAATAAGATTAGCAAAGTAGTGGGATATAAAGTAAACTCACATAAATCATCAGGATTCCTTTATATCACCAACAAAACCCTGCAAGAAGAGATAGTAATAGATACCCCATTTAAAATAGCTTTAGACAGTATAAAATACCTGTGAGTACACCTGCCAAAACAAACCCAGGA